CTGTACGATTTCCAATTCCGAGACGTTATCCATTACACCACCCGCACATCCAAACTTTCACCACCTGGTATCCCCAAGCGATCACCCATCTAGGGATTTGTATTTACTTGACTCCCCACTGAGTCAGGTTGTGACACAAGGTCAGTTTTTAACGTGGGGACCTGAGTGTCTTCACTCAGGCCGCTAGTCTTAGCTGGTCATAGCTTGTCCAAGCTAGTCAGAGCTGATCTAAGCCAGTCATAAGTGGTCATAGCTGGTCAGAGCCGGTCCAAGCTTGTCACTGCTGTGATACTACCAGTGCAGGAACGGATCCCGGTGACCGGTAAATATCCGAATGTGTATACACCTCAAGTGAGGGGTTTACACACTGCGATCACCCATCTAGGGATTGACCAGGCTCGACGTTGCTTAACTCTGGTGATCGTACGGGAACCGGTGTTTCAACGTTATATGGCTGTAAGCAGAGTAGTAGTAAAGAGAGTGGCAAGTAGTAATTGAGATTATTATTCATTTTGACTAGTATTTACTTCTGTCTTATTTTTAGTTTGCAAATTAGACTGTCGATCTGTAGTAGTGAATAGAAAGTGCGGAGATAAAGAAGAGACTTTGAGGAAAAAAACTTGTACTATCAACCATTTTTTTCGAGAAACGGCAATTAAAAAATTAACATGGGTGTCGCCATATTAGATACACTTTTATTTCAACAGGACGTGTTTTTTGGAGAACAAAAAAATTCAACTGGTTTTAAGCACGTAATGTTATAAGCAAATTATCAGTTCATTACAGAACATTACAAAAACACTTCAACTGGGGTAGAAATCATTCTTTTTTCTTTTACGTGCCGTGTCGCTTCAGAATATAGGCGGTCATGGTCCTCCACAACTTTCTTTGTTTGTTGATTTACTATCCTTCCCGGTGCATATTCTGCCACTTCATCCTGGTGTAATGGCTAGCAAATTTGTTCAGCTAAAAATCAATTACAATTGAGTAGTGAGTTCAATCCTCACTGGGTGCCTAATACATTCGGCCTTCTGCCACATTTAATCACCATATTCTTCTATCCATTTACACTTGTTCGTTAAGTTGATTGCTCATTGTTTCTCTTTTGCCTTCAATATGTATAATATTCTTCCATCCCCGACCGGGTGGGGGAATTCTGCTTGAGGGTCCCGGGCAGTGATTTTTGATCCTCGCTATCTTATTAATATTTGCTTTTATTCTACCTACATTTATATACGTTATAAATTAAACTAAAAACAACTATTAGAGCATGAAATATTTTCGCGGGTTTTGACGCCATTCTGTGTTTTTTCATCCTTTTTTTTTACTCAGGCTAAGTCTTGCAAAAACACTATAAAATTGACTATTTTTTTATCTATAATGTTGAATGTGTTAAAATGTAAGAAAATATCAAGTTAATGTTAAAAATTGCTACAAAACATTGTTGATTTATTTAAGATGGATTGATCTATTATAACAGGTCTCTAATTTGTATTTAGATACATTGTGTTTATTTTCACTTTTTCTAGTTGAATTCTTCACCTATATTGCATATGGTCCTTTATTGTACACATTTACATTACAATAAAATGTGTATTTTATATGAAAAATACCTTATGATACCTGAGATTCAGTAGAGTGGGAGGCGGACATATAGATTCGGGAGGCCCCGTATCATACATAGATTCGGTGGGGGACTACGAGACCTTTGCACCGGACCTGTCCTGTTACAACAGTATTTGTGATTGTGAAAATAATGTGGTGGGAGTAAATAATATTGCTATGAAGCGTAAACAAAGATGGTGCTGTGAAAGATCATGGAATTAAGTGAATTTTTAAACGTTAGCTTTGATTTTCTGCAAAGCTGTTGAGTTTTCGAAGGCATTTTGACCGGCCTGCGAGCCTGATTACTAATGACTCTATTTTTAACATGAGAGACGACCTTCAAATGAAATCTGTTATATGTCCTTTTCCATAGAATGTCGACACATCTCAGTGTACTAAAAATATTAGACTATCTGCCAGTTATCTTTCATGAAACTTATTTTACCAAGTTGCGTTGCCTACGTTTAATGTCAAATAATGGATACATATTTGTTATGACCCTTGGCCACATTAAAAGATAACAGAAGCGAAAGGAACGTTAAAGTGAAAGAGGCCAGGGAGGGACTGACATGCAAGGTAGCAGAAATCTAAAGACAGTTAAACATACGCGCATTATACATACATGCCTCATGAATGTGTGGATGATACCGCATGTGTACGTACGTAAGTGTATATGTTTGCAACTATTTGTACTCGTATGTATCGGTATATGTGCTTCGTTTTTGTTTGATGTGTGTGTGTGGTTCGTTTGTGGAACAATTTTCAATAAAAGTTCCAAACTTACACGTCATAATTTCATCCATTTCACTTCGGTTGATTTTTTTCACTTTGAAGTATTTTGACGTTCCTTGAGGAAAAGTAATTTTTGTTAGGTGTTTTTTAATTTTAGATTTTCTTTTGTTTTTCTGATTTCTCGATGTTTATTTTCATTATGGTTTTAAATGTTTAAGTTGACTGGGGTCTGCATATATAATTTTCCTTAATTTTTCATTAATGGCCTTCGTCCGGCCCGCGACCCGTCATTATAACACGATCCGACCCGCGGGGTCGAATGAGTTGCCGACCCCTGCTTTAGTGAATACCCATATTTGAGTAAATCTTGCTTCATCACGACGCTATTCGTAGCCGTGTCAGATCAAACCATGGATTCCCCTGCAAGGGGAGACGCATGTTCGAATGTTGGAAAGCGCATTTCCTTTCTCGAATGTTAAGGCTGATAGAGGAAATAAAATGCTACTGAAAATAAACGGGACGTTTATTTAAATATTGCCATTCACGAAAAATAGCATTTAAAGTGATTAAAAGTATCATCTAATCTTTTTTTTTTTTAAAGGAGCTGATTCTGACACTGGAATAATACATTTTCTTCCAATTCAGTCTGGGCAACACCTATAGTGGGTTGAGCAATAAACTCAAAAACTGACCGGCAAGAAAAAAAAAATTAATTTGTTAATCACTAAACAAAATGAAATGATAATAAGATTTTATTGTACTATTCGGTAATAAATAGAGTTATTTCTTTAAAGTATTTCTTTAATTTTGTATAAATATTTTTAGGTTGTCATTGAATTAAAATATATATGCGCTCACGCAAACGTAAATGCATACACAATTTGAAAAAAATTGTGTCGTGTGGGTTAATTTCCTTTTCAGTCTGGCAACAAACTCTGATTATCAAGAAAAGTGAATAAGCCAGTATGCGCGGCTTGTTAAGTGATTTTTATGATTCCTGTATATAATTAATAAATATATCAAACACCAATATTTTTAAAAGATTTTTTAATTCTTTGTATGTGTATAAACGTGCAGATTTTTATAGATACAGTTATTCATACGACATTATCAGAAAATACGAACGATAACTATAATAAATTTAAAGCCAAAGTACCTAAAATTCAATAAGACATAAGGTTACGAAGAATATTTTCCTAAGGTTTTAAGATTACAGACTACTTAAAATTATATATAAATGCGCTCACGTTATATTCTTCAATTATTTTTTTACTAATAAAGCCATGCAGAGCAACATTAGATCAATATCTATCTGTCATCAACCTGTAAACACATTAACAGCTTAAATAAACAGTTACTGCCATGTTAAAAAAAAACATTTCTGAGATATTTTAAATTTAAAGTAAATAATATCGGTTTCAACTCATTAATTATACTTTATTTAACTCAGCTAATATTCCTCAAATAAAGTTTCAGAAAAGTATATTTTATTTTTGAAAGATTTTTAAATAAAAACTACATTCTGACAACTAGTGGCTAAAAGGGCGCTAACATTAAAATAAAAATTAGCAATTTCAAAACGAAAACTCCATCCAATCAATTTAAATTAGTTTTGAAATTCAGCAAAGTATTTTGCTTATTGAAAATATTACATTTAATCTATTAGCATGAAATTAAAATTAAGATAAAAGCTTTAAGAATTTTTTTACTTTTAAAAATTCATTTTAAAATTTAGGTATCCCGTTTTCTGTGGAAGTGTATTCTATAATATCAGTTATGTGCCATGCGTGATACACGCTTAGGCGAATATGTATCTTTCTATATTATTGACAAGGCAGATTTTTTCCCGCAGTAGGTTGCCATTTCTTCTGCGGTAGACCAATTGCCATCCAAGACTATAGAACCCGGTCTGTCCTGCTATTTACTCATAGCTGGGTAGAGAAGAGGATTCATATATTTCCCAAGGGAATTTGTGAATGTAATGGATTCGAATGGGATTCGAACTCAGCTCTCCCATTACTCAATCCAAGCCACTATCCATTACTCCACCGTGCATCTATAATATAGTATTTTAAATCGACAAAAAAAATTTGGTTTGAAATTTGATCATCTTGTTGCCAGCGAAGTGACAGGTAACCAACAAGTATTTAATCATTAGAATGAATTGGCATTTATATATCCTACCTCAGATATCATAAGTTATGTAAACAATTAGTTTAAGACTATTTTTGCATTCGCCTGTCAGATCGGGTGATGTTCCTACGTAAGCGGACACATTCTTTTTGGAAACGTCCAGCCAATGATAGAATGAGTAAAAGCGTGGACAAACAATGGGCTTCAGCGCCACACATCTGCTAAACAACATCTGTCATCTGCAATCAATACATTCTCTTAATTGTCAACTGCTTTTCCATTGAGCGAAGCAATTTCCAAACATCGCCTGACTTTAAAAGCCCTCTCCCTTTCTCCAAACCTCTCTCAAGGTCTGAGTCAGAGTGTAATACACACACACAAATTAAACACATACACGGATACACACAGGCCCGTGCACGCACGCATACACACGAATAGATGATAGTTGTCATATACTCACAAACACAACGCAATGAAAAAAAAGAAAGATAGTGACTAAAATTTGTGAAAATTTGTTTCACTTGGTAATAATGAAAAAACAATACGAATCGTCCTCTCCCTTATTCTTTTCCTCTCTTGTTCACCCCTCCCCGATTTCGGAACATGTTTTTTCTCTTTCATTTTTTTTTCTTTCATTCATTGTTCCATTCTTCTTCTTTTTCTTTGTTCTTTTTTTTCTCCTCCTCTGTGTCTGTTTCCTTTCTTTCTTTTTTAAGTTGTTTATATGGGTCAGACGTTTAGACTGTCGTTCCGAGGTGACAATTTGTTTTTTGTTTTTGTTTTGGGTTAGGAAAGGAAAGTCGTGTCCCCGTGATTGATATTGTGTTGACATTTTTTCTACAAGCAAATTCGTATCAATAAACAAAATAATATTAAACAAGGCCATTCGTCAAGGCAAACTTCGTCCCGGACCCTCAGCCACGCTGGTCGCTTTTGAACGGTTGGGAAGAAAAAACTCTCTCTCTCTCTCTCTCTCTCTCTCTCTCTCTCTCTCTTTTTCTTTCTTTCTTTCTTTCTTTCTTTCTTTCTTTCTTTTTCTGTATCTGCCATGTCCTTTTAGGACGATTATGGATATCCACATCTTCCTGTCTGTTAATGTTCTTAATAATACTTGTTCTTTGAGAACCTCTGTTTGTTTTTGGGACACTTGTCCCACAATCCATTTGCTCGAATTCAAGTAATTTTCACATTGTAGCTCCGCTTCTCCACTTGCATTCAATATGCCCTTTGAGTGTTAAAGTCTCCAAGCCTTATGTGTAAAAAATGTCAGCTGTCTCTTTCTGGTTGCTAGCATTAGCTTCTTAGAGGTGCCTATTCTTAAATTTTCCTCATTGCTCACATGTTCTAGCCAGTGTATTCTGAACATGTAGACTGATTTTATTTTTACAGTTTATCAACCCTTTATTGGTTATTTAAAGGCGAAACATATATTCTAAGAATTGCAAGAATAATTTGCCTATATTTCTGAGATGAGGTATTGTAACTATTTACATCGTTCGGACTGTTGTCCTCATCTTTATTGCCATATTCACGACATTTCGATTGTTGTACACTCCGGCCTTCTTCAGGTGATATACGTCAGAATTTCGAACCGAAACGTTTATTTAGTCCACGGGGGGTTAGATTGTTCTAAGTTCATATGCCATGTCTTTTTTGAATATCTCAGTTTTAGTTAATTCCCTTTAGTAAATCAACTCTCCAAGTTTTTTTGTTCCCCCTGCTGTGACCAGGTATTGAACTTACAACTCTTTGGGTCAAGTCTCAATTTTGGATTACTCAACCAACGCTTTTATCCATTGGGACTTGGGGTCTGATATATTTATTAAGAAAGGCAATGTCGTGAATATGACAGTAAAGATGAGGACAACAGTCTGAATGATGTAAACAGAGCAAATACTTACAATACTTCATGTCAAAAAATATAAACAAATCATGAAGAAGGCCGTAGCGTACAACAGCCGAAACGTCGCGAATATGAGAAAAACAGTCCGAATGATGTAAACAGTGTAAATAGTTTAGAAACTTAATCTCATAAATATAGAATCCCGGAGTGTACAACGACCGAAACCTTGTGAATATGTCAATAAAGATGAGAACAAAAGTTCGAACGATGTAAATGGTGTAAATAGTAAGAACAATTATATATATATATATATATATATATATATATATATATATATATATATTATGAGTGACTATTTCATTACTTTTTGCGAATAACAATGATTTTTAGAGATATAAATCCTGCTATGGAGCGGGGAGATAGATTCATACTTTTCCCAAGGGTATTTGTTCGTCGATAAGATACATAACTATCGCTCCAGGTCTCTTTTTCATCTGCAAGGAAATTGTCCTGCATTTGTTGTCCCATAGGACTAGTTCTTCGTATCTTAGAACATTTTCCATCCTTTAAAACATTCTTAAGTTATGACTGACCAGAGCGACACAAATGCCTGGTACGTCGCTGCATTTGTTTACTTTACAGTACCACATAACATCCGTTCTGTAGTTTATGGAATGCTTCTGTTTAATTGACAGTCTCACATATTTTTACGTATTCACAAAACGCCTTCTCTTCCGCGTGCATGCTGTCTGTTTTCGGTATTTAATAAAGACACTCATACCTCGGTGTTACGGAGCTCCTTCAGAAACAACGGAGAAAATCTGGAGCAGCCGACCCAGTTTGTAAGTCTCGCGCGTACGGGCGGAGTTGTGGCAACACTGGATATAAGCCGCTGCTTCGCGACCTGACCGCTAGTTGGCGGACAGTCACTTTGTTTACATCAGTGTAAACATAATTGTGACTTATTCCTTCATGGGTTTCCCCTCTTTTATATGCCTTCTGTGGTTTTTATATTAATCGTTTCCTGTCGTTTGGAGGAAGAGCAGAAAGCGGAAAAGAGTGAATTTAACAGTAGCACAAAATAGTGTACAGGTATTTTACGGGTATTTTTTTGGATAGGGTACTTGATTAAATGTACAGTACTATATTGTTATTCTTTCTTTCATAATAGGAGTAGACAGATTTGCCTTCCGCCCGGTTCACACTCCTCCCGGGTCTTTTGAACAGGAGTAAATGTTCATCCGCTGTTTCCTGTTTAGGGTTGGATTTCTGAGCCCTTCTAAAGTCTGCTTCAACTCTATACTCCTAACATTTCCACCTGAACGCTGAAATTTGATTCGCTAACTAGCAGCCATCCCCAGCTGGTCGATCAGAAAAGGCGTTCAATTACAATGGAGTCCTTTCTTCCTATAGTTCTCTTAGATTAAACCCAATAAAGCTTAAATAAATGAAATGAGAAGACACAGCCTTATCTTATGCCCCTTTCTATTGTTGTGCATTTACTGAATTCATGTTTCTATCCATGTGAAGACGGTTTGCTTCCGTTATAAGTTCTGATAATAATAATTCCGTTATAATTCTAATACTAGCAGCCATAGTCGATCAGAAAAAAGTCGATTAGAATGTAACAAAAACAGTATCATGTTTAGAAGTAACAGAATCTATCTTCTTCAATTACTTTAAAGTACTTTCATTAAAAAACAAAATCGAGGACATGAAGGAGTAAAACAGGCAACATGAAGACCCACTTCATGCCAAAATTATTTTGAAGTTTTTGAAAATCAATTTGTCAGTGTGCTACCAGGGATGTAAAAGAGGATACATTTATAAATCAATTGTTAAGTTTGATGAAAATTGGTTGAAAGATCAACCAGTGGCGTAGCTAAGCGGGTGAGGGGCGAACCGCCTCGGGTGCCAGCACAGGAGGGGTGACATTGTGTCACCCTTAACAAAATTTTTCAACCAGGCTAAGGTGCCAAAAATAGTCTGAAAACAGTGGTGGAAACACAGGGTTCCGCAGGCGGGCATATGACCCCCCAGAAATAATTTATGATCCCCCAGTTTTGTCCCCCACCCCCGTCAGAAATTTTCTAATAAATTGTCGGGAAATTTGTGAGTAGGAAAAATAACAATGTTTTCAGCTTTCATGTGTTACAGTTGCTACAATCTTGGTTACTAACAAGAGACATTGTTGTATCGGATGATATGGTGTTTTAACTCTGCGTCATTAATAACAACAAAGCGAAATACGAAGCAACAATTTCAGTCTTGCTTGTGTATCAATTCGCTGAGATACAATTTTCCATTGAGTGAGCGATATACTTTTGAATATATCTACTAGTGTTGGGACGATTAATCGGAATCGGAATCGAGAATCGGAAAAATCGGAACTTTTGGGGTATCGGAATGGTATTGAATCGGAAAAATTTGTGCCTATTTTCCGATTCCAAAAACGATTCTTTTAAATTTTTAACTTAATTTTCCATTATTGGTATTAATGATAAATATTTATTGTTTTTAAATTATCACTAAAGCTAAAATCATAATAACATCAAAATACGATGTAAATTTATTTTACTTGTATAAAGAAAAACAAAAAAATAAACTTTGCATAAATTCTCTAGGTAACCTTTAAAAGAATGCTGTTGATTTACAATGTTCCGAAAAATGCTTAAAAATTAAATAGAACATTTTTGTCAAGAAAAATACTTTCAAACATCATTGATAATTAAATGGTACCCAGAAAATGATGCAACGGAAAATTGGACACCGGAAAATTAGCAACAGAAAATTACGTCAACCATGAGCCAGTCAAGACATAGTATCGAATGTCATTCTTTTGTGTATTGCCGTGTTTTGTATTTAGTTGTTCTGAAAGTGAACAGTTGTATTTTAAAAATCTTTTGATTTGAACTGATTATTTTGTGGTATTGGATTTTGTCTTGGATCATACATGTAAACAGTAACGTACCGGTCAGTAGAGTAAAGTAGAGGTAGAGCATGTATGAAAATTTAGCTACAGCTAACCATTCAGCATAGGGTGAATCGGGGTCATTGGGGTGACATTTGAGCGGACCGCCCCGGGTAACGTTTACTCTAGCTACGCCACTGAGATCAACGAAAAATAAGAAAGAAACCAGCAAAAATCACCATTTTTCGCTATTTACGCGAGTTTTCACTATGTCGGTGGACTCAATTATCAAGTTAAATGACTGTTAAACAATCAACTTATGGTTGGCTATAATCGAGTGAAGTTTGTATTAGATTGCTTGAAAATTGAGGGAGTTTTTAGTTTTAAATTTGTGTTGAAATCAATTTGTGTTGAAATCGATTTTTCTTTTTTTCCGTTTTTTCGCTAAACGTAGTAGCGTAGAAAAAAATGAGATATTGTTGAACTCGTCATGATGTAAGCAAGCTACATACCGACTTTGAACAAAACCGGAGGAAAAAAGTTGAATTTATAGATGTTTGATCAGCTTTATCGATTATCGATTTTTTAACACTAACAACCTATCTCTTACATTGTACAATGTATATGCCAAGTTTGGTCAAAATTGGTTGGATGGATCTCGAGTGAAAAGGTATCAAAACAGACAGACAGAAGGACACACAGACATCCTCTGTTTTATACATAGAGATTAAATCTTGACCTCTTCAAGTATAGAATTAGCTGTCAATCGTTCTTGTTATCTTTCCCTTTCTTATGCTACTACAACTCCACACAGCAACCCTCTATCTTGAGTGGACCTTGGGCCTCGTATTGGGTGAAAATTAGTGAAAAAATTGTTGATATTAGCCACTACAGACCTAGTGTCGTTAACTACGGACTCTCAGCATTATCGGGACGATGTTTTCCCTCTATCTGTTAAAAACGAGGTATGAGTGCGTATATCTTTTTGCGCTTTTACTGCTCACTCTGATTAGGAATATTTGCATTTCTTGTTTCAGTCTCTTGAACAATTCTATATCGTTCTTCTCCGATTTCCGGCCTAATTCTGCTTTGAGCATTAGAATCCTGGTTATTAATTTTTGTTAAGTGGCTCATTAATTTTCGACGGAGATCCTATTTAGTCGCACTTTGGTTTCTTCAGACAAAAAAAATTCTAGATTAGAATCAGTAGCTACAGCAACACTGAAGCAACTAAGCTACAAACGTTTCACCGCGCAAGTTCATGTCACGATGAACGACAGCACTCTCAACAAGACTCCACACTTTGAATGTCTATCGGAACTCGAGTTCAAATATGAAGTGTTATTCATATATACGATCAATCGCAAAAGTTACTGGGGAAATTATCGGTTCCTTGTAGCACTTCAAACAACACATAGCATTTTCTACCATGATCTATCTTTACAAAAATCAGATCACATCAAAACATGAACGATTGCTGATTGGCTGCAACTGCCCAGTTCTCACTTTCGCAGCCTTTTGGAGGATGGTTTATTTTCCACCCTACAGCATCTTTCCTCATAGACGCAAAGTCGAAAGCCTATCTCTACTTCCATAGCAAATGTTCAGACGGGCTCCATTCTTTAGTGCCACTACCTAAGGCATTTACAGGCAAGACCCGCCTTGCTACGTCCACATGGTTGAATTATCCTTCTTCCTTTCGTATTTCTTTGGTAAGAGTATTGTTCCACCCCGAAAGTTCCTTCCCAAGAGCTACTACTTTGTGAAACAGACTCCCGTGTGGATTCCTCTCCGAACATTACAATCACAACCTCTTCAAGTCTTACAGCCACATCACGTTGAATCACCGACTCCCGTACGATCACCGAAGTTAAGCAACGCTTATCCTGGCCATTACCTAGATGGATGAACGCTTGGGAATACCTGGTGCTGCAAGCTTAGATGTGCAGGTGGTTTAATCGATAATGGTTCGGAAATATTAATCAAAGAGCCGAGTTCCAATTCCCGTTGGGTTCGTTATATTTACTTGCGCGCAAATACCCTTGGGAAAGGTATGAATCAACATCTTATATCCATAGAGTTAATTAGTAAGACTTGTGTCGCTAAATTATTATTATATCATAGCCCTAATAAAAAAAAATTTATTAAAAATATTTTCTGGTTTTAAATAACCTGCAAAGGGTTGATAAGCCGTAAAAACGAATCAATCAATCAAGTTTCAAGTGTTGGAGCAGTCGTTATCCATCCGCGATACCTCCATAGTCTTCGCTTCTTCCGTTCTCCTCTTATGTTTATATCATATAACTAATTCAGTAACCATCTACCTTGAGTGGCTCTTGGGACTTGTATGGGTGAACTTTAGTAACAAAAAAAAAAAAAGAAAAAACGTCAGTGAAGGTCGAACTCACAATAAAAATATATATTTTTACGTCATGTTCCTTCAAGAAGGTGATCATGTCTCCCCATAGAGTTCGTATCTGTGACTTGGTTTAACTTCTTGGGAAATAGAATGTAGCGATTGTTTATTGTCGGTAGATTTAAATAAAACATATTTGAATATAATTTTTTTAATCGTTATTTTAAACGTAGAACACTTAGTGTGACGGCTATCGACGCAGAGCAGTATCAGTTAACCGAGTTCAAATTCCGATAGGAATCGAACCTGCATCCCGACTTTGTATGAAGAACCACTGTTTGATCCGGTGTGTCGAAGGGAAATAGAACCTTGCTTCGGAGCCGTGTGGCATAGCATAACGGATCAAACGGAGGTTCTTCCTACAAAGGATATATATATTTGTCATAAAAAATAAACATTATTTTGAGTGGGTATACGTGTTTGAGTTGCTATTTCAGTTTTTTATTTTATTAACCAACTAGCAGCATGGCTCGGCGTTGCCCGTGCTTGATTCAAAAATCGTACGACTCATACAGCAATCGCTATCACTTGACTTAAAATAGTTTTGCCCTTCCTTACCTTTAAAGGAGTGCCCTTTTCCGTGATGATGTTGCTATATGCCTTACTTCTTGCCTATCTCACACTGCGAATTTTTTCTAAGCTCTATACTAAACATTAAATCTGTTACGAAAAAAGAACTAAACAAAATGAACACAAAACGATCAGCTTTAAAAAAGGACTCGTAACTGGAAAAACCGAAAGAAAAAGAATGTTAACAACAAATACTTTTTCACACCCAACCAGGTTTTGCGGAATCAGAATCAACGTTGAGTTTAAGCAAGCGAATGAGCCAATTGGAGTAAAGTGCCATGCAGATTTAAATTTTTCCCACTTGTGACGAATGCAGCTATAGATTTTTTTTTTTTTTGCATGCTAGCATGCTAGTTAACATTCGTGTCAGTCAGCTGTTGGCTCTCACGATTGCCAATAGAATCTTTCTGCCTATTCGTGGCAACCAGCTATAGGCTCTCACTCTGGCCAGTAGAAAATGGCCGCAAACTACATGAAAACTGCCGTAGAAGCGTGAAAAATCGATTATTTCCACTATCGATGGGAGTTGGGAAATGCAAAGCCGGTCTTGTCCTTCCCGCTAACTTGGGGCATGTGCATGTAAATTTTGGTGCAAATCCGTCGAAAATTGCGGCCGTGCTTTCGTTACACACACACACACACACACACACACACACACACACACACACACACACACACAACCTGCCTATTATAGATAGAGACGAGACTAATAACAACCGGCATAGATTCGAGAAGTCTTATTAAGGCCTATCTTGGCTGGTTATTATTAATTTCACTGTTTAAGAAAATAAATAATAGAGATGGCAACTAAAACAGGTATAACCACTACAAATTACCTTTTATAGAAGCAAGAAATAATGCCGGGTAAAAAAAAATCTATATTTAATATATACGTTAGGAAATGGATTAAATCCGATATATTTTTCATTTATTTGTTTACACGTTATTTTTAATGGATACTCATATCTGAGTAGACGTTCTGATTTTATTATTAAACTGTATATTTATTTATATTTGCCGGCCTGAATAATCGAAAACTCTTATTAGAAAGAATATGCGCTCTCCCGCGGGATTCGAACCTGCTGGAGGAAACAGCCATTTGAAACAGCATTGACTATATGTAAGATCTCCTGGTCGAATACAGCCCGAATAGTGCTTTTGAACACATATCTTTTCCGATTCCGCAAATTGCTTTGAAGTCTATGCCATTCAGTAATATTATTTTTCAACTGACCTGTGCTTTGCTGTCTCTCACATATTTTTTTATAAGAAAATGACGATTGATTTTAAATCATTGTTATACTTTGTGGAGAAAAATGATGCATTCCAGTATTACTCAATGATCTTGCCGATGTGACCTCCATCTTCTGGCTTTCTCCTTTTATAATTTGGATAGGACTCATTCCCTTGTTCAAATTTAATTTTAATTTAAATCAATGAGAAAAATGTTTTTAGTGGAGGGGTGCAAAAACAGCTTGATATGAACCCTTTGATATGTATTTGATGCAATACTTGATTGAATGAATTGATCATCAGATTTCAAAATTGATATGGCAATTGAATTGTCAGAACAAATATGTATTGTAGGCACTGCCCACTGATTGGTGATTTCTTGCTCAACTTGACGTTCATATTGTCTCATTTTTATCTTGCCGATGTGACCTCCATCTTCTGACTTTCTCCGTCTATATTTTGGATAGGAGTAATTCCTTTGTTCAAATTTAAATTTAATATAAATCAAAGGGAAAAATATTTTCAGTAGGTGGTTTGTGACTCCCCCCACCCATGACACGGAGACCCTTTGATCAAAATGATATATACTTATCCGAGTACCCATCGGAGTCATTCCCTTGTTCAAATTTAAATTTGATTTAAATTAAAGGAAAAAAAAATTCAGTGGGATCACCTCCTTTAATCAAAATGAAATATACTTAAACAAGTACCCTGGGTAACGTAGTTTCAGAATATATAGGGTTATGGAGGTCTATCTCCAAAACCTTAAGAGGAGTTCAATGACAAACAGACAGAGGCTACAACTTAATATATATAGATATAGCACCTAGAGTGAACCAACGCGATATAATTAGTTCAGAGATCTCGAACGTATTTGGGAAACCATTCATTTGTGGCAGTTTCCATTGTTTAGGAAAAAGACAGTAAAAAATACTATTATATACGCTTATACAATTATTTTGGTTTCTATTGAATATATATATATATATATATATATATATATATATATATATATATATATATATATATAAAACTCGTAATGATGGCGATATTAAGCCGGATGTCAACTTTTCTCACCTTTCACATCTGCGCCCGGGGCCGATTGTTCTCCATTGCTCCAATCTGGCTTGATATCTGCGCTTGTGTCAACTAAAAATCGAATACCAGAAATTAAGTTTAAGAAAAAATTAACAGATTTTGTCGCAGTTAATAGCTTACTATAATGTTTTTCTGTTTTAGAGCAGGATTTCACTTTTTTATAAAATTATAATTGCGCAGTCTGAAATCTGCGGTTGATGTGATAAGTACTGTCACCAAAAATTAGATACATAGCTTTTATCAATTTTTGAGCATTTAGTTTGAAAATCGCGTGAAAAATATACAGAAATACCTACTTTCCGCAAGTTTTTGCTTACAAACTGCGTTCAAATTTTTTTTTATTATTTTAAGAATAAATTGAAATTGATATTTTTTGTATTTGATACATTTAATGGAAAGTATGTTCGAACAAGGATACTAATTATAATCACCACCAGCAAAATATGCTTTTTGTTTTTACTGTATTCGATAAGGAAAACCTAAACTTAATCTTCAAACTGATCTACTCAAAACGAAAAAAAAAAATGGCAACGATTTTGAAAAAAAATATTTTGTGTCATTATTTATCCTGTCAAATTTCAACTTTCAAATTGAGCGTCGTACCTCGGTTGCCCCCCTCCCCCACAGACAATATTTGTACATAAGGGGTGTATTTAGGTTTTTCATTGAGTCAAAGAGGCATTTTGGTGGATGTAGTAAGAAAGGTATGGATAAATGTGTTGTTTTGGTGATAGGAATATTGTTTAGTATGATAGGGTCAGTGATTGTGGCTAGCTAAGTTTTATTTTAAGACAAGTGATGACCGTCCTTTTCCCCAGCCCCCTTTTCGGCCTTGTGCCACATTTGTACATAGTACAATAAATAATGAGCGTCGTACCTCGGTTCCAAAATCAACCTGCTCTATTCTAGAGCTAGAAAACCACACGGGAATTTTCTTTTGGCCACTCTTTTCCTAAAGCACCGGTGGTACCTGCAGTTTTTCCCAAAACACCGGCAGTATTTACGGTTTCAACATTTGCTGTGGTATCTGTTGCTCGACATTCGTCATTCATGCCACTTTCGTTTCTCTGCTGAATGTGAGTTGTGTCTTTCCTCGGTTAATTGGTAAATAGCAATCGCCATCTTCACAATCACCTGCTCAAGCTTTTCTATTTTAAAAGATATATTCGTCTTTGTGGAAACATTCATGATGAACGCAGTGTGTATTTCATGGATGTCCTGGCACCTTCTGCCATGTTTTAACTAGAGTCAGATTAGATCAAAACATGGAGTACTGCTGTCATACCTAGGCTGGAGCGGCCCAATCCTCGCTTTCCAGAACTGAGTAAGAAAATCGTTTCCATGGTCTTGCAGAGGATTGCTTTCTTCCACTCTACAGACTCATTCTGTACACACGCAACGTCGCAAACCTGTCGTTGTGCTATTGATATTTTCATAGCAAATTCTCGAACGATTTCCATTCTTTACTTACACCAGTTCACACCTTTACAGATAAGACCAGCTAGAATATATCCACGAAGCTGAACCACCATCATTCCCCACTCCATATTCCAATTATAAATTTTCCCAAAGAACTGCAGATTCGTAGAACAGACTCCTACGTAGATGCTTCCCTGAACGCTACACTCTTAATCTACTCAAGTTAAAAGTCAATCATTATCTATCCTTCATAACCTCATAATCTTTACTTTCTACTCTTGCGCTCATATCATAAACTTAATTCCGTAGCCCTCTACTTTGAGTGGCCCTTGAGCCTTGTATTAGGATTAAATTTTTACTGTCTCACTAGGCAATTAATTTAGAACTATGTTGTCTTCCGAGTTACATATGTATGCAAATGTTTCGCTTTCAAACTCTCTTTCAATGTGTTGTACGAATTGGTAGCTGGTATGTTTTCCAGATCATTTTAAAACGGAATAATTCTGTCATATCTGGGCTAGAGCTGCAGCCTTATGTAGAGCCACATTTCTGTTGCCTCAATTCCTCGCTATCTATGAGAAGATTGTCCAGCATTCACTGTCATATAGGGGGACATATAACAGTATCTTTGTTTCTAACGAGATTTTCCTGTTTCTTATTACTTCACTTGGCTTTTGGAAGGCATCTTTCCTTACACAATTCGCCTTCGGATTTCAGTGTCCGCCCTCTTTTAAAAAACTTCCTAGATATTTAAATTTTTGTTATTTAATTTTTAATGTTTGTTTAATTTTTGCATCTCTAATTTGTAATTTCCATGTTCGGCTGTTTCAATTTGCTGGAAACCATACATTCCGTCTACTTACAGCTGATGTATAGTCCTTTCTCCTCGCTTTTCTTTACAAGTGTAGATTTCCTTTTCGCTGTTCTTGGTGTAGACTGCTCTCATTCCACTGCCCATGTCTCGGGATATCTCATCTTGTTTTTTTATCTTTAGGAAAAAAGAATGTTTACCAAAAATATGTTCACTAAAAATAAGAACTAGACGAGATATACCGAGACATGGGCAGTGGAACGAGAACAGTTTATCCTCGTAGACTGAATAAAAGGTTCAGTTCGTGTTGCATTGCAGCTCAGGCCAAACACCAGTTTCTTTGACAGGGCGCAGTTTCTTTCCGTCAAACGTTTGTGGCTTAAAAATTATCTTTCGGCCAGATCGTTACCCACGAGTGAAGAACAAAACAATTTATAGCAATAAACCAGATTTTATTCTTAGGTAGTGACTTACTGCTATAAGTGAGCGAAGTAAGGTTGGGGAGGCGTACGTGAGGTGCGCAGTTCAACGGCCGTCGTCTATGTCCTTCTGCGAGACCCACTTCGTTCCTTCTGTTGGCCTCTTCGCAGGATGGTCAGTTTTATAGACAACAGTTTCCTTTTTCCTGTTATCTTCGTCTAAAAAGTAATTAATCTTCCACCCGCCACTTTCTCTCACTCTGAGCCCCTTGCTCCTGTACTTTAAAGTTGGTTCCGTATCGAGTTGTGCGAACGGTCCCGCTGTTTTAAATTTAATAAGACCACCCCTGACTCATATTGTTACATCCGGAATTCCCTGTAAGTTACTCGAATCAAAAAAAAAAAAAAAAAAAAATAAGCTGATGAAGACGGGAGGGCATAACGGTCGAAACGTTGAGATAACAACAACAAAGATGAGGATAATAGTCCGAATGTAAATAGTGTAAATAAGTACAATCATATTTCATTCAATTATATATTCACAACTGTTTGCTGTGATTTTTTGCCATTTATCAGGCAAGTCTTTGGTATTTTTTAGTAAAAGGCAGCAGGTTCTGGTTTTCCTTACAGAAAACATTCTCCATCAAAGTCTTTTGAAACGATCAAAAAAGGAAAAATGTTAATGTATCATTTTTCTTACCTCAAACGTTATTTTTACCGGATGCCTGTATGTGAGTAAACGCTGTGTTTATTTTTAACAGTATTTTTTTCGTCTATAGCTTTTGTACCCGAGAAAACGCAAAGAAAATGTGCCCTCCAGCTGGATTCGAACCTGTGTCTTCCTATTCAGGAGGAATCGCACTCTTATCCAGTATGCTTTAACCGCTCGGCAACGAAGAGCTTCCCACACTCTTATCCAGTATTCTTTAACTGCTCAGTTAAAGAGAGCTTGCCATATTCTTATCCAGTATTCTTTAACCGCTTTGTTACAGAGAGCTTCCCAATCAAGCAAGGTTCTATTTTGCCTTCAAAGTATATTTTACTCTTTCAGATTTTTCTCGAAATGCATATCTGCTTATTTTTCGTATTGGAAATATAAACAAAGCAATTTCAAAAAAATTTATAGATTTTATTTCTTAATCCAACATATTTTTTAATAGCTTCATACACTATTTTTAGTGGATACCCGTATTTGAGTAGACGCTCTGATTATTTTAAACAGTATTTCGTCTATCATCCTGAGTACTCGAGAAATTGTCGCGTATGATTTGTAGTTAGGACAATATATGTCATTACAATTGGTTACCAATGATGGAAATTATTTACGTCTCAATTTAATATATTAAAATTAGCTGTTTGGTAAATGAGGTTCGTTAATAGATTTTTGCATTGGATTTTGCAAACCGGTTTCAGGCTCGTGTAACTGGCTTTCCTGTCAGTCGGTCATTTCTAAATTCTGTCTTTCTTTGTAATGTCGTAACAGCAACAGTTTTTTTTTTCTTCCGCACCTAATTCACCACAAACGGTTACTAATTCCTTCTTCTTCTTCTTCTTCTTCTTCTTCTTCTTCTTCTTCTTCTTCTTCTTTTGATTCTCATGCATAAAGAGATTTCAATGCCACAGTCGGCATTCAAAAAGCGACTCTCACAGACATCCAGACAAAATAAAGATATTAGTCAGACATAAAAAAGAAAAAAAGAAGAAAGAGACTTAGGTCACAAAAAATGGATTATAGGGAAAGTCTCTTCATGGCTTACGGGTCCCTTGGGAATTTTACGGTCTTCTATTGCCAAATGGAATGCCATAGTGTGTGGAGGCGAAGTAGCACTTTGTCAGACCAGAATATTTTGACTAAGACGCATTTTGACGTATATATACGGTATCATCGTTTGACTTCACAGATAAAGGGATTCTACGTCCTATGTTAGTTAACCTTCGGCCGTCGGGGTCCTCAGGAATGACATATTTTCCCCCAGAAGCTGCAGAAGAATGGTTCTAAACTGGAGGGAGTTCTAGTTTTAAAGAGTTACCTTAAAAACTACAGATGGGGAGCGTGGAAAGCCATTAGAAACTGCGCATTGAGATTATTTTACTATTTTCAAATCGAGGCTATTGTATTGCCATTTTGTGAACACGATCTTGACCGTGCAGTAAATTTCCGGTGTGGCCTTTCGATGCAATGATAAAGTGTGCAGTTTCGGCTGTACTTCTGGGCAATTTAATCCAGGTAATACTTGTAGTTGTGGTTGTTTCGCTACCTCGTCATTCTAATGTGTTCTAATGTCTCAGTATTTCTAAATATGTCCAAAAGAAAATTAGACAGACGAAAAAAACACAGTCCTGCAAAAACAAAAAAATAGATTTCCTTCCTATCCGTATGCAGGCGTTTTACCCTAGTATAAGTTCTGAATTATCATCACATTCTTCCCAAATAAATCGAATTTTCCTAGCAGTTCAAGAATGTGAAATAAGACAGAGTTTACAAAGGGAATGCCGCGTATACATGAGAGCAGGGGAAATAATTTTTCAAGAACTTTCGACATTTCCTTTTGGGGGAAATCTCAATCGTCATGGATTAATCCGAGTCTTCTCCAGTAGGAGTGGAACTACTTGTAGTGATTCCATCTCTAAGGATGAAACTCATTGTATCTCATTGTAGCCTGGTAAGTAGGTATCTAGCTGCACGCCCACTCTAAAGGAATGGGGCACAAAACTGAGTTTAAAGTGTGAGTACCACGCGTACAGGTGACACTGACTCGGTATCTCCCTTTTGGCCAAGCCTTTAATGCCAGGGATTAACCCTAGACCATAGCAAAATTACTTTTTGTGGCGGGGACGCTCCCTATGACTTGGGCAATTTATAGTTAATTTAAACCTGACGGGACGCTGCCTACACCATGACAATAATATTTATTCGTATGCACACTCGAAATTCTACTTAACGGGTAGGTCCCTGAAGGTAGTTATTAACACGAATCCTCCGGAGCCTTGGCGGTCAACACAGTCGTCCCTCAGGGGTCACTTCTCGGACCAACCCTCTTTTTGCCGTACATAAATGATCTGCCGAAGAATATACTCAGACCATTTGTGAACGTCTATGCCGATGATACGGCGATATAAAATCTTGATGTTCAGAGATTGGCAGCTGATCTCTCATCTAACTCTAACATCTTAGTGGAGGACATCCTGGCTGGTTACATTCAATGTCTTGAAAACCAAACTAGTTACATTTCATCGCCGCCGACCGGACTCCGAACTACTATCAGTCACAACGAAAAGATGCTCCTTCGGAGTGGCTCAGTGCCTTAAGGGACTTTGGGGGCTTAAACTCACACCTAATCCTAAGTGGAACTCGCACATACGATTCATCGCAAAAGATGCATAAAAAATGGTCCGCTCCCTGTACCGTTCCTCATGCTATCGTCTACCTTTATAAGAGACAGATCAAGCATAAAATAGAGTAATGTTGTCCTATATTTGGCAGGAGCAGTCAAGTCCACACTTTTTTGTCTCGACAGAGTCCAAAAGCGTCTCCGTGTCCTTGTGGGTGACAAAATTTTCACGAGAAGTAAGGTCCACTCGAACAGCTTCTTCCAGCGAACCACTGCCCTGTGGAAGCAACTCCTAAGAAGATGTTTCCCCAATCACTAAAATCTTAATCTGTTAATGGCTAAGGTTAACATATATCTTCTTCTCCTATCCGCAGAAAATTCCTCTTAATATAACCCAGTACCACGACTGCTCAATACAAAGTAGAGCAGATATAATTATTTTTTTTTTTAAATTATAACATAAATATGTTATAAAATCACTACAAAAATAGCCATTTTGTTTCAACACCCCTGGTGTCTTATCAAGTGATGATGTTGAATGCAAAATAAATGGTTTTAAAAGTTTCACATTAATTAACGATCCTTCGCAATGGGAAAACGCTGTTACGAAAGCTAGAATGACCAATCAAAATACAAGTATAGGAAAATTCAAAAAGCTTGATAACGGAGTCATGTTATAATAGCTATTCAAATCTTTAAAATACGGGTAATATTAAAAAAGAATTTATTCTAACCAACAATTACTAAATTCTATGATAAAATTTGATATTAAAATTAAAAACTGCCAATTTTAGGCATTCAACAGGCAGAAGAATTATTTTGGGAAAATCATCTCTTTGTTAGATAAATTTTTTTTATTTGTTTTTATACAGTAACTAAGAAACTGAGATGCCTTGAATTACCCGATCGGTAGCTAACACCTCTGCCAGCAGACGTATGAATTGACAATTGGACTCGTTCCGAGCTCAGAAATGCATAAATAAATCACGATCGACGCATAAACACGTCTTTAGTTGGTTTTAGTTGTTTTTCTGTTTTGGACGTATTTATTCGTCCGTGTCTGAAAAAAGTAAGGACGCCGTGGAAGGGGACAAACCAGCTTAGAGGACTTCTCAATCTAGGCCAGTTGTTATTAAACTCATTGTCTAAGAAAAAGAATGTAAAAAATATGGATTTCAATTCCAAGACGTGTACCCATTAAAAATATAGTTTATAGTTATGTTATATACCGTACGTATGAACATTAATGTGTATGTCCCAATCCTCATAAATACGTTGGGTACTATTGTAAGTGAGGGTAATACACTGTCCTAATAGTCCACCGCTAGCAGTGGTTTACCTACTTCACGCTGCTGACGAGTATTGTATTTTGTTGACGTTATAAAGATTACCATTTCATTTCTAACTTCCGTCTTACTTCATTCAGTAAGCCCTTTCTATGTTACAAGTTATAATTGATATAGTAATTTTTTTTATTCGATCGAGCTAGCTCGGACATTCATGAGTCTATCACGCCAACCATCACGTTCCTGCACCAAGGTTGAAAGGTTATTGGGGTGGAATTCTGTGTCATAACATAGCTGGTCAATTGTAGGTGATTGCTAAGCGATCAACGCTGCATGGTGATGTGTCCAGAGCAGTAGATCCCTTGCAATTTCTTGTTTTGCTTGCCAGCAGTGTCCTGTAAAACGCATTGTACGTTCGCGTAAAATTGTAGAAATATCAGGGATGGGTCCATAGAGCTGTGATTTAGTTGAATGTTGTCTGCAAGAGTTGTTAAGTATAGCTCTAAGCATCCGAGTGTAGGATTCATCAAGCTTAGACTCTAGGGTTTGTCCAGGCAGTGGCACCATACATTAAAACTGCTTCTATAGTAATGCGAAAGAATCTCCGTTTGAGGTAGTCTGATAAATCTGATTTCCAAATTACATCCAATTTATTCAAAGCGGCCCAGGCTTTAGCTATACGAATTTATACACTTTCTATATACTTTTAGTATTTACTATATCACGTGTATATGTAATCATTAGAATAAATTTATGTTTTGATGTATTTGTTGAACACTTATTGTATTTACAATAGGCATAATGCCATTATCTAGTTTGTTATTGTTACAATAGCCCAGCAGATTAAAACGTTGGTTCTTGAATCTGGTATCATAGTAATTGTGGCTAGTATCCATTGTGCTGGTAGTTTATTATTTATTCGGTCGAGTTATCTCGAAGATTCATGAGTTTATCACGCCAACCATCACGCTCCTGCATCAAGGTCGAAAGGTCATTAGCGAGACATTCTGTGTCATAACATAGTTGATCAATGTAAGTGGTTGCTGGGCGACCAATTCATCTTATTCCATGGCTAAGTGTCCAGAACAGTAGATTACGCGCGAGTTCTTGTTTTGCTCGCCAGCAGTGTTCCGCAAAGCGCATCTGCCTTCGCATAAGATTGTAGAAATATCGGTATTGGGTCCATAGAGCTGTGCTTTAGTTGAATATTGTCTACAAGAGATGTTAAGGATAACTCTCAACATCCATGTGTAGGTTCCATCAAGCTTAGACTCTAGGGTTTTAGTCAATGGCACCAGACATTAAAACTGCTTCTCCAGTGACGCGAAAGAATCTCCTTTTGAGGTTGTCTGTTAGAACTGATTTTTCAAATTACATATTTATATAGCTATAAGCTATATTAATAAGTTATATGCTGTAATAATATATATGATGGACCTGCCCGTTGATTTCGACAACCTCAGTCAATTTTTATGTTTGTGTTGTATATGACACTTCAGTACCACTAGTGACCTGCAGAGAAGTCCACCTATTGTGCAACAGCGAAGATCTCGATACATAACCACAGGAATTTTGCCGTTGTCTTTCGTCTCTTGTATATATAATAATACAAACAAAAGGAAAATTTGCCGACTCGTTTCCTCCTCTGTGGGACTTTATCAAGCAAATGCAAGGATTTTATTTTGTAACAATTATTTGTATACAAGAGCAAGAATGTTATTGATTTTTCAAAATTCTTGAGTTAGGAACGCTCATACATATTCATCAGGTTAGCTGAAAACGTCAGGCAAGCTATGGAGGACACGAAGTGATACAATTCAATGTCTAATAAACGAAAGTGAGTAAATGAGGAATGGAGACATTGGAAAAGACCTAAGACGCAGATTTATATTTTGACAAGAAAAAACAATAATATTGTTACTCTCGTATATAAATACTTGTCACAAAATAAAATTCCTGCATTTGCCTTGATA